TATAATTATGAATATATTATTGTCGACCTACAGTATACACACTAGTATATATATATATATATATATATATATATATAAATGTTGACTACATCAGCTGACGTTCAAATGTCAGGCCATTTGATTGGTTAAGTTAAAAACAATAGAAATATGATAATTTTGATTGATCTTTCTTAGATGACATTACAGTATTTAAGATAGCATTGAGAAGAACACTTTTTATTTGGCAGATAACAGTATTATTTAAAAATGGTTTTAAAAACCGGTTTCTATTTTGATTTTGGTCCTATTATAAATATGATAATTTTGATTGATCTTTCTTAGATGACATTACAGTATTTAAGATAGCATTGAGAAGAACACTTTTTATTTGGCAGATAACAGTATTATTTAAAAATGGTTTTAAAAACCGGTTTCTATTTTGATTTTGGTCCTATTATAAAATTATTTGTTTTTCCAGCTCACCTTGGCCTGTTGGTTGAAACCTTAGGCTTCCAACTAAAAGGTCTTGGGTTCGAGTCTTTGTGTATGCGTTGTGTGTGTGAGTTTGCCTTAAATGGCCTAAAGGTCCCAAAAAAAATATTTGTTTGGTAGTTTTGATTGTTTCGATGATTTTGGTATTTAAATTTTCTTTTTGTTTTGGTTATTTTTTTAATAATATGTTATAAAAATATAGTTGAGGTATGAAACAAATAAGATTATTTAATTGAGATTCAAGTTATGACATAAAATTTGTTGAGCCGTTATAGAGAATATTAGTAGAGGTTTGACTACTGCTTAGAGTTTTAGTGAACTTCATTTAAAAGCTATGAGTTTTGAGTCTTGGTTTCAATAGCTTTTGATCCTATAGCAATAACATTACGAAATCATTCCAACAAAGAGCATTGCATCAATCTTTTTAGAGTTGAGTAAGAAAGGCCGCAACTCTGGAAGACCACATCATCCAATATAGAAAACTTTTAGAAGTTTACAGTAGAATGCTAAGAGTAAACTTCCCATAGTTACAAATATTGTTTAAGAACAACCTTATCTTTATACCAGGACAAGTAACCAATAAAGTAAAATATACTTAAAGAAAATCCAACTGAGAAGACTCAAAATGAAGCCTTATTATATGATGTGCTATCAATTTTATGTTGTATTTTTTATGATAATAACTTGACAAATGATAATCTAAGGTTCCATCTCAAAATCAACATCCATGATCTCTGTTCATGAATAATAAAAAAAAAATGATGTTAAATTGTAATTCTTTTTTTAATGATAAATAGCGATTACTTAAAAGGCAAGTTAGAATTCCTTTTGACAATGCTGGCATTCATATGCATTAAATTTTTTGGGTTAATTGCAACATTTTCGGCATACATTTGATACAACTATCATCAAGCTCATTCTTATGCATGGTATGGTCTTTAATCAAGGCTTCAAAAATTGTTAAGCAGGAATTCAACAATGACTCTTCTTACGCTGATGATGGTAAATTAACAACTGAACTTAGTGAAGATAGCGTATTTCCATATCTACTTGTCAATATTGGTTCAGGTGTTAGTATGATTGAGGTAAGCTTTTTACTACTACATGCTAATTTAGTTCAATAGACTACTCAGTTCACTATTGTATGGCATGCATCACCCTTCCTTTTTAATATGATTCATGAAACTAATGATTTGTTGTAATAATCAGGTGATTGGGAAAGGGAAGTTTGAGCGCATCATTGGAACACACATTGGTGGTGGTACTATCCTTGGTTTAGCTAGGCTCTTGACAGGGTGTACAAGGTAGCTGACATTCAGTATTAACATTTCCCTCAACTGTGTAATGATTTTGACACTGAAATTTGGCTTATAGTATTTGGTTTTCCTTTTTCTTTTTGGGGGTTTAGTTATGATGATTTTTTAGACTTAAGCCAAAGAGGTGATAACTTGACTGTTGACCTGACTGTTGGTGATATCTATGGTGAGCATGGTTATCCTAAGGTATGATTTCTCCTTGTTCTAATTCTCCTCTGTTCTAGTAGTTGAGAGCTGAAGTAGTAGCTAGGCTGAGTGTTCCATATGTGAAGATGCTTAAATATTACCTATTGCCATATAATTTGGAAAATGCTGAATGAATCATATTTCTGAGGTCTTCAAACTGTCCTCTTTTATGCTTCTTGAAACTATTTTTATTCATCAGATCCCGAATCAGGAAATGTTATAATGACTAGACCTTATTTGATCATCATTGTTATGATTAGTATAATCCCGTCTACTAAATCATAGTACTAAAGTATACCTACTTGGAATATCTTTTTTAGCTTCTTAAGCAATGCAAAATGAGTTGAACAATTGTTGATCCTTGGGGGGTAATTTTCATGGGGTTGAAAAATATTTTGTTATCCACAACTATTTTTAGTTGTTATATTGTTTGCAGTTTCTTATGCATCCAGTAAACATGTTTTATATTTTTTGTATCATTGAACAATCATATGCGTTGAAATGCAATGCACTGACACTATGAAAGGCAAGGTACCAAAACTAGAAAATGCATGAGCGGTGTAAGAAGAGCATTACAAAGTTGATATGTGGACCAAAGAAAATTTATGCACTGGTTTGTTTAAAGAACCATAATTACAAAACATCTGTCACTTTCCAAAGAGACATGTTTCGGAGATTTTTTTATTGTATGTTCGTTGCCACAATGATTTAGTTAAAAAATCCAAAGAAAGTACGAGTGCTTCAATTATTTGGTTTAAGAGTCCGCTTTACAAAAATCTCTCTCTGATGAACATAGTGTACATATGGATGTGCTTATTGGATATGTATTTGATATTGATAAACCACTTGTAATTGCTACAAGTGAATCTTTTTTTTCATGGTTAAAATTTTTTTTTTGGCTTAATGATGATCTTTGTTTGGTAATCTAACTTTCAATTTTACCAAATGTGCCTTTGAGTTGAAGATGACAAAAAGATATATCTTGAGTAAGAATGATGTAGTGGTTGGACACCAAATCCCCCCAACTTCGAAAACCCAACCCTCCAAACTGCTAATGGAAAGAAAAAGGTTCTTTTGGATATTGGAAGACTTGAAAAAGAATATTCTTAGCACGTTATTGTTGCAATGCTTTTGCTTTTGGTATGTTTCTGTTGAGATTGAAAGCTTCCTATTCTTTCTATTTTGTTGAGTGAATTCCCAAGTGACTAGCTTCTCTCCTTGTATTCTTTTTTTCTTCCTATTCTCTACTGTTAAGGTTGGATGGTTAAAATAGAGTACTTTAGAAGTTGTGTCATAAGAGGATATCATAGAGGTTTTAAGGTAAATTTTTGTGGGCTCTGAAAATTCACGCCCCGGCCTCTTTGCTACCCCTTTCTTTTTTAGGTCGTTGAGGAGAGTTTTAACGAGTTTGGGTTCCAAGGTAAATTTTTCGAAGACAGATTGGGTTTTAGATATGATGCTATCTAGAGATTTCGCCCTCATTTTGTGAGGACTTTATGGTATGAGTTCAGGTTTTCTATAGGCGTAAGCTCCTATATTTAATTACCCCTCCCGATAACGAGAAAGAACTTTCAATTAAGGCTAGTTGTAAATAGATACATATTATCCAACGTATAGTTGCAACAAAATTAGATATTGAAAATTGAAATTTATATCACTGCGCACTTAAAGCGGATGGTGGGAAAAATGATGATGAACCTGGTCAAGATCCCATGGTTCTGTTATCCCGGGCCATCATGGTCGATAGTCTACTTAGTTTGAGGAGGTAATTAACCCAATATGACCGAAGGATCTTTGTTAGCAGCCATGGGTTGTTTCATTCAAAGTTACCTTGTAGACTTGGAGTGAATGTTTATTTAAGGGGACAAATTTGAGTCCACCTTAGCTAACAAATTGTGTCAGATCATTCATATCCTATTTATTTATTACTTAATGATTTAGTGTCGTTGAGGAACATACGGGCTCTGAACATGAACTTAATTTAATGATGTCATTTAGCGGCAAAACCACTTGGTAAGAGGGTCTCGGTCATAACCGTTTACCTGTGGTGCCATTTTGCGATAAAATCTTCGGTTAAAGGACACGTGCAATATCCTTACTGGCGAGAGATGATTTGAGGATGAATCCTAGTGATGTTCACGATTAGACATAGGCTCTTTGTGAGTTGAAGTGATCTTCAAACTTGTTCACCTCGGCTAACTGCTACGGAGGGTGGATGGATATTTTGCTTTAAGTTTTAATGAGAAATTTCAATTTTTGAATATATGTAGAGTTTTGAAGTATTAAAGGTTAACCCCTCGGGTTGATATTAACTTTTAACACGACCATCATCGGGGTGACTTTATTGTCACTTTAAATGTTTTTATTTTATGAGTATGGAGGTATTTTAAAAGTGTTCATCATCGGGATTATGTTATAGTCAATTGAAAATGTTTGTATTTATAGCAATTTGGGAGACATTTTAAATATTGGGGTCTCCTCCGGTTTAGATTTTTTGTCAACACGACCATCATTGGGGTTTATAGGTAATTTCATTTTATTGGCAGAACCTTGTCGACTCTGTCTACTTGCCGACAGAGGATCGAGTAAGCGTAGATTTTATGTTTTTGGTGATGACTATTTCTTATAATATACCTTGATGGGCCTAATATGAACATATAAAATAAATACTCTAGTCGGAGCTATGTCCGTGTATTTGTTCGACAATTCAAGCTGTACCCTATCTATTTATTGACTTGATCAGGTTCATCATCGGCTTCATGTTTTTGTTCATGAATCTTTCTTATAATAGACCTTGATGACTTAATATGAACGTACAAAACAAATATTCCGGTCGGCGCTATGACCTTGTATTTATTCGATTATTCAAGCCGTGTCGACTCTGCCTATTCGCCGACAGAGGATCGGGCTTGAACTTAAGTTTATTTCTTGACCCGCGTAGAATCCTCAGACGTCACGTGTGTGCATATTTCACGCTTGTTGGGGTCCATGCGAGTGTATGCTTTTATATGAATTTTGCATAATATATTTATTTGGTGGTTATGTGTATGCAATGCAATGGGTGTATATGGCATATTTGCATGTTTGCACACATGCTTATGCTTTCATCTGCATGTTAACATACTCACATGTTTACTTGTGCATTTGCATGTATATGCATATGTTGATACATCCATTTGTGTATTGTTTGATATTTGGCATGTTGCATGGTGGCTTAGTGTAGTAGCGTGTGATATGTACTATAATGCCTCTATGCATCGCATGTTTGCTTGCATGATACATTTGCATGATGATTCAGTACTTTCATGTGGTGCATGAAGTATTTACATGTCGACGTAGTGTGCTATCACTACACAAGACATTTTACATGTTTTATGGTGTACTTGCACAATGCATTTCGTATGTTGCAATGTGATTGCATATTAATGTAATGTGCCACCACAACGTGGCGTACTTTGTATATTGAGTAATGTATTTGCATGATGCATCTGACATATTGCAAATGTATGCATATTATGAATGTGTCAGTGCACATTTTAATGCATGAGGGGATGTTTTTGCAATATTCAAATATGAACAATTATGCAAGTGATCACCATTTAGAAGATGCACGTGTTTCCTCAATGGGCTTGTAAACGCCTTTATATGTTTGTATGAATGTTGTAGATTCGGTGGCGTTATTTAGTAGTGCGTTAAGTTTCATTTTTCATGCATCGGCAATGCAACTTAGCTCATTTCATCTTTTTGCATATTATTGTTTTCTCTAGATTTAGCTCGTAGTGGTGTACTTTTGGCTGCAAGTGAGCTGGCGCTAGCAGTCTCCTGTTTCTATTCACCAGCAATCCTTGGTCTTCATTACAAAATCCTTACTCCTGCTTGCAGGTGAGTCGCATTCATCATATGTTGCACTGTGTATATTTGCAAGAAGCTTTATTGTTTGTAAGCAAGTTGATGCATTCATTTTTATGTCTATTGACAGCTTACTACGCTCATTGTATATTGACTTTCATGGTTCGTAGGAAGCTGCTGCAGTTATTTACAATTGAAGGGATGTCGTAGTATTCATTGCATGTTGGTTGGTAAGTTGTTATGTTCACTTGTATGTCTTTCGCTATCACCCATAAACCCTCACAGGCTTCTTGTAGTTGCTTGTTGCCTGTAAATCGACCATTGTGTGTGTCATAAGTTCATGCTCATGCCCATAGACGAATTATTATGTTCACTACATGTCTTCTACATATACTTATATGAGCTCGTACTCACTGCAGGTTCTTGGTCCTTGTAGATTAACTAAGTGAACATGACACATTACTTTAATCTCATCATTTATGGAAAATTATCACATGCATTGAGAGTTTGCCCACTTGTCTTATGCTCGTTCATTGATATTCAATTGAATGACCCAGCTTGTTAGTTAGCGTTTGTATTTCAATGTGATTATGCATTTATTAGTTTAGAATCCAGTTCCTTGTTTATTAACTTACAAGCCCAGTTCCTTATTATTGTTCAAGTTCTGTTCATTTTCAGTCTATATTTTAGTAGTCTCTTGGCATCTCCCCCTTTTATAGGAATTTTTGGGAGTATAGGCCTGCCCACCACGTCAAGCAAGATGTGTATGGTCGGTGTCAGGCGACACGGCCGTGGTTTTCTATCCCACCGCATTACAAAAAACATGTACAGGTCTTTGAGATACCTGCGTTGAAGCATGCAAATTTTCCTATAGGCATAGAAGCACATACACAGGTACTTAGGAATATCCCTGCCGCGCTAAAAAAAGCGTGTACAAGCCTCACCCACATCGCCGCAAGCATCACACCGAGCTACCTTCCACCACGCTAATTAAACGTGCATAGGTCCTCTCGTTGCATTGCAAGTGTTGAAAAAACAAGATTTGGAGGTTTTTCTTGAGCTTAGAAATCATTATACCTTAATGAGCGAAGCGACGACAGTGTCGATGTGGAAACTACGGTGACGATGAGCACAAAAATTTTCTTTTTCTTTCTTTTCTCCCTTTTCCTTTTTAATTTCTTCTTTTTTATAATATCTCTTTACCTCCCCTTTTTTTACTTTCTATCCTTTAAAAAAAAATAATAATGCTAATTATATTAATATTAATATTATTAATATTATTAATGATAGTAGTAATAATTATTGAAAGGGATAGAGAGAGGATTGGTTGAGGGATTTGAGTTGTGGGGGTTGTGGATTGAAGTGGTTTGTTGTGTTGAGTGAAGCAATATGTTTAAAGACTTGAGGGATCAAAATAGTCCTTTAATATAGTTGGAGACCATTTTGGTCCTTTACAAAGATAAGGGATCATTTTGGTCATGTTCTCTTATTTTTCATGTTATTTAAAATTTTGAGTGTTATGTGAAAATATAGTAAATAGTAAGTGTTAAATAGGTAAATAGGATAGTTTTGAGTGATGTGTATGTAAATTCCCCTTTCCTTTTTTGGGCTGCAAATTCAATTCAGAAGAAATGGAAGACATTCTTGTTGTGGATGGTTGCATTCTAGTATCAAATGAAAGAATGGTTTTATACCAACTTTAATAATTTCTAAAGCATGCTATGTTGTTCTGTTTTGAATTGATTTGAAAAATGAAACTTTCTAGCAATGGTTTTAAGGTCGAATGAAGATATCCAGAAGCATCACATTAGAGGAGATGCTTCAATTAAGATTTACGTTAATATTGCTTGTAATTATTTTCTTTTATATAGCTAAAAATTAATCTATTAATTATTGTACAAATTACAGATAGGTCTTCCCGCAACAACAACGGCATCTAGTTTTGGGAAAGTAACTTCTAATAAGCTCTCTGATTACAGAGCTGAGGACTTTGCTGCTGCTCTCTTGAATGCTTTTACATATAATATTGGACAAGTGAGTCTTTTACTTTGGCCCTTTCGGTCATCTCCAAATGATAGATTTTTTGCCTTACATTTTTTATGTGTAGTTCATACAAATATGTTTCCGTATATGTTTTTTTTAAATGTTTCATTATTTTATATCCGAAGCTTTAAAGGGTATATTTCAAATTATTTGAAATTGAAAAGCTTTGTATCAGGAGAGTTCAAGCAAGTCTTCATTAGTGAAGGACCTGAAGGTCTAACAATAAAAAAAAGATGTCAAACAACAGCAATAGTTTCATAAGAAAATTTAAAGATAATCGTGAACTATGATGAAGTGTAGCCATGAGAAGATTTGCATGCATCTCTGCAGAAGGTGTTTATCATCATTTGTTATGGTACTTGATGTAGGACAATCATGACATGTCATGACTTGCCTATTTTGGATCCGCTATATTTGGATATGTCAACTTATGTCTTATTAGAACTATTGATAATTAAAGTGCCTCTTTATACAAAGGGTTATTTCATCAAAGACAAGTCTTTAATGAATATTTTTCACTCTTTTTTTTTAATTGATATTTAAGAAGCTTTCCTTATTTTTTATTTCCTTAGATGCTAATATCCTCATAAATAAGGCATGCTTGTATGAGGAGAATTATCTTATGAATATCAAAATCAATTGTGAACAAATGTTTTCTCGTCTTTTTTTTTTCTTGGTGAACCTACGACTAAGTCCATATCATTTAGTATCACAAATGATTTTCTAGTAGTATAAGAAAACGATCAGGTTTCTTGCAGGTCAACGATGAACCTATGATGTACAGATATAAACACGGCAACACGAATATGACACGCACAGACACAAGACACGCCAATTATTGAAAATATAGGACACAAATACTGATTAGACACAATATTATATTTTTTATATTTTGAAAAGTGTATAAAAGTTGAATATGTATACTTCTAAAAATAATTTAGAGTTAATAAATCATTCAACTATAATTTGTACTTAAAATGATTAATATTAGGATGTCGAGAGTCAAGAGTTGATGTCATATGTCAAGTATCGAAAGAGGAGACGAAAATGTTGTCGAGAGTTGGGCATCGATGTTATACAATATCAGACGTTGATGTCAAGAGGTCGTCTGTCTTCGGTATTGAGAGGGCATTGGTCGTCGATGTTAAGACAACACCAGACAAAGATGAGCTGGCAAGTTGTGGTGTAAAAATTATGCTTAGTCGAGCATCAATGTCAAGACAATGTCAGACTTTGAGGACTGAGGAGAGATGTGCAGTTTAAGGTTGGGGATATGGTTTATTTGAATATCCGACCTTACAGACATAGGACTTTGGGTCGACGGAAGAAATGAGAAACTTCCCCCCTCCCCGGCTACGTTGGGCCCTACGAGGTAGCGGAGTGCATTGGCTCAGTAGCATATCGCCTACAATTGCCTCCGACCTCAGCCATCCATCCCATATTTCATGTATCACAACTAAGACGAGCCATTGAAAATCACACACCCTTAACCTCGCCCGCACTACCAGTCACACTGTTAGAGAATATGAAGGTGATATTAGAATCATTTGAGTTGAAAGGGATGCGCCAAGGAGATAAGGGGATCAAGGAGGTGCTGATCAAGTGGAAAGATTTACCAGAATATGAGGCGACATGGGAGCCCTACAGTACCATTCAGAAGCAATTTCCCTTTTTCCACCTTGAGGATAAGTTGTCTTTTTGGGAGGGGAGTATTGATGCAGCTGGCAGCAGTAGTTTAGCTGCCCTGGTGGGGCCCAACACCTCTTTTATCACCTATATGAGAAGAGGTTTTGGGAGGAAACTCTTTGGGAAAGAGGGGGGGGGGACTCTTTGGGAAATATGTAAGGGGCATTTATTTGGGGATTTGAGCTGTTCAAGGGGGGAGATTATGGTGGGTTGGAATTTTTTAGGTTATTTTTTGAATTTTTGCAGCAGTTTTTTGGAGGTGTTTGGGTACCTAGTTGTTGCTAGGAATTGTGGGAGAGACAATTCACCTCTCGAACAGTGAATCAACTTGTATATATTGTCTTACTTTGCTTGGGAATTAGTAAAAACAGCTCTCTTTGTATTATTTTTGGATTTATTTGGAGTAGGTTGTTGTTTATTTTTTTATATTGTTATGTGTTGTTTTGATCATCAAGTCTTATCATTTTGTTACTTTGATCAGTTGATGTGTACACTACTTTTTTTTTGCTCAATTGTTACTTGAATTTTTGTAGATTGCTTAATTTATTACTGGATATGTTCACAAATTGTTACTGCTTAATATATGTGAATGTTAACATGTCATTTTTTTTAAGATATGTATAGATATGATGCTAATATATTATTTCTTAACTCTCTTTTGATTGTACACTTTTTTTTTTATTGTAAGACTTACATCTCAAAATTTCTTAAGGCTTACGCCAAACCTCATGAATAAAAAATGTCTCCATACTTAATTTTAAACGTTGGATAGGTTAAAGATGGCTACCAAAGAATGAACTTGGATGTGAGAGGGAGGGGGAAGCTAGTAAGGAAATGGATCAAAGGCTAGACAATTTTATTAGTCCCTCATTATGACTATTGATCACCTCTACAACTATCATGATTAATCATCAAGTCCTTCATTTAAGAGCAATTTAAGCATGATTACTAATTAGCTATGTTGCACCGATACACCTATTTATGAAGGTGTGTTGTATCCGGTACGCCGATATACGGATAAGCCTCCGATACGTCATCGATACATGTCGGATACGCCAAAGCCGTATCCAATTAAAATACTATTTAATTTCAAAAGGACACACGTGTCCATTGAAAAACAAAAAGAAATCCGAAAAAAAAGACGCGTCGTATTTACTTCCGCTGCTGCGAGCAACGTTCTCTCATTTCTCGCTGCGAGCAAGGTTCTCTCATTTCCGAGATGGATTTGAGTCTCTTGATGATATGGGAATATTAGAAATTACTAATCTTTCACTTGATGAGCTTGAATTAGAAGCTATGATATTTATTGAAGATGATATAGAAGTTCAAAGACAACCCACTAAAGAAGCTAATCATATCATTCCTTCTATTGAATAGTTGAAACTTCATGTGCTAGACAATTTATGTTTATGCTTTTGTTGTTCTACTAGACATTTAATACTTAATTATATTTTTATGTTATAAGCTAGAAGGCTACAAATGATGTTGTTGTTTTTTTTTTTTTTTGTAATTTCAAATATTATGCTTTGATTGCTTTCTTAATTTTTATGTATGATTTATAAATTATAATGTCGTGTCCGCGCCGTACTCGTATCCTATATTTTTAAGAATTGGCCTGTCCCGTATCCGTATCGTGTCGTACCCATGTCGTCGTATCCGTATCGGTGCAACATAGCTAATTAGTCATTTTTAAGATATATATCATAACATATTATTTGCTATTTCATTTGCTAATTTTTTTTTAAGTCACTTATTTTTGGAGCACTGACTAATATTGCACAAATAAAGGTACAAGCATTTCATTTATATTTTCGTTTTAAATCTTTTTCATTTTTCATGCACGAGTACATTGTTTCCCTTACCAGTACTATAAGGAGGTGAATTCCTGTAGTTGTATGCATATATATTTTCGCTTTTAGTATATTTTTTTCAATAAAAATGTAAACCTTTCAAAATCTAATTAGTTCGATGGGAGCCAACTCTAGTTCTTACCATGGAATCAAAGCTTTTTGAGCATGCCTCTATTGGCCCTATGGATGTTGTCTTCTCTCTACATATATGATCATTAATTCAAATCCTAATATGTTGGCCCCTAAACTTCTTCCAATTATTGAGAACACAGATCTTCATATTTCTAAGCGGCCTTATGATTTTGATGGGGATCTTCAAAGTTTTGACACTTGGTCGGATATGAGATTTCAATTCTTGTTTTCTTGGTAGGGCGGGAATAAGAAAAAAAAAATTATCTTCACACCCCAAGGTTCACGTTGGTTCAAGCAAGTCATTGCAGATAAGTGTTTGTGATTTTCGCTTTATGTTGAAGGGAACTTCCTCCTATGTCATCATATTATCCTTTATTTTATTTTGTAATTTTTACTTTTCATTTGACAATTCTTCATAATTGCTTCATGTTTATGCTTTAAAAAAAAAATAAGTAGATCACACATTCTAGGGGTTATTTTTGAATAGGATTTGTTGTAGTGGCTCTAAATAATGCATGTTGATGATCCATGAACATATTTTTTTTGGTATTCATGTATGAAACCCTAATTATGCCATCAACCATATTGAGATTAGAGTTGAAGTTTTCATCTTACATCCTTTTGTCTTCAGTATTTGCAAGTTTTGGATGCTTAATTTTGGAGATATCATGTGTTTTATTGATTTCTAGATGCTTCACAAAAGCTTCTGTTGATGTCAAGGTTTGTAATTCTTTCCATATCCTCTAGAGGCACAATTATCCCAAATATTGAATTTTGATGATATATTTCATGATATTGATTGCAATTGTTTACTATTATCTTGTAGCCCACTTTCATCTTTGAACTTATAATTTTTTCAATCCTTAATATAGTTCTCCTTAATCTTTAAGCACAAAAAAATCTTCTCTTGCTCAAGCATTCAATCTAACACAACAAACGTTTCTCTTTCTATGTCATTTGATTTAATTGTTGTCAACATTGATGAATGGATCCAATTTTGTGAACCTCAAGTCTGCCATTTTTTGCGTGCTACCTTCAAACCTGTCAACCTTTTTGGGGATCAAGAAAGGTAACATATGTTCTTGATGTTCAATTTATCATCCCCGATCATCCAAGATGAAAAAATGTTGTAGTAAGTTGTCAACTTTTCTCTATCCTGTCTTTTAACTCTTCCCTTTAGTGTCCAATCATCCCGGATAGAAAAATATTATAGTCAGCCTTCACCACCTTTCTTTGCCCTTTCTTCCATCTCTTCCATTCCTTGTGTGCATGTGAATTTTTTTATCTACAGCCGCCCCAATTCATTTCCTTCAATTCTTCTTAACTTTAACATCGCTGATTGTTTATTTTTTATTAACAATGTTTTTTAGCCTTAATAAAGCTTCCGCTCCACCTGTTTCTTTAAATGTTCCGATGCCTGAATTCTGGATTTCAGTTGGGATGATCAACATAATCGTGAGCATGTTATTAATGTTCATACCTTACAGATTTCTTACTTTGTTGCAAAACTCTCTGGGCTGAAAAGGATCTTCTTTCGAGGAGCTTACATTTGCGGTCATGCCAAGACAATGGACAAGATTTCTCGTGCATTAAAATATTGGTAAACGTTGAGAAATGCAATCGTGAAGAAGCCAGTTTAGCATTTTATTTTACTAGATGTGAATCTGCTTCTGCATGACTCGTAAGATATTTCACTGTTTCAAAGCTTACATCTTCGACAGTTCACTTGAACACGTAGATTTATATTAATGTTTATTTTTTTAAAGTGACATAGTTCATAAATTCAAATTTTCTTTTCCAATGTACTTATGCATAACATTATAAGATATCTTAAGATTAAGTAAATAGTCTGAGGGGTTGTTTGGTTCGAATTCAAGTGGATGTAAAGTATTTCAAATGTAGGTGTTTTGAAAATATTGGTGTTTGGTTTGTTGAAAAAAGAATATATTGTAAAATTCTATTGAATTCATTTTTCACTTTTAGTTTATTTTTAATGAATTGTAAACTCGGCCAGTGGCGGAACCACATGTATCTCAAGGGGCAATTACACGAATTTTTATTGCGTCCTCCCACCTGACGTAGAGATACGTCCTCCCACCGCTAAAAAATTGGGTTTTTGCTCGATATTGCTAGCTATTATTTGGTATTAACGAAGAATATCATCATGTGAAGACATAAACCGAGTTATACTGAGCTATACCGAGCAATACAGAGCTATACCGAGTTTTCTCTAGGAAAATCTAGGTATTTTTTTGTATTGCTCGGTATAGCTCGGTATTGCTCGGTATAACTCGGTATTGGTCTTCACATGATGATATTCTTCGTTAATACCAAATAATAGCTAGCAATACCTAGCAAAAACCCAATTTTTTAGCGATGGGAGGACGTATCTCTACGTCAGGTGGGAGGTAAAAAATTATTTTTTCTCCTCCATGAAAATCACTTTTGTCCTAACTTGTCCTAAAAAGTATAAATATTTCTTCACATTTCGTTCTAATGTTTTCTTTCATACTTTTCATGACAATTTAATTATACCTTTTTTTTTCTTCATTTTTTTGCTTAACTTTTTTTAAACAATTTTTCTTTATATATATATATATAAATTTTGTACTGAATTTGCACCTCCTCAAAATTGAAGCTGGTTCTGCCCTTAAACTCGGCTAGTTTTAACCAAATTTCTTTTACACTAGTCTTTTTTTTTTTCGCCAACCAAATAGCCCCTAAATTATTAGTGACTCAAGCACTTCAATTCAAATGCATTGGTAAATGCATATAGTTTTTATTATAATTCATTGTTGCCTTATGCCTTGCCTCGGTTGATTTTGTTTTATTAGGTCTAAAGGTGAAGTGCAAACAACATTCTTATGCCATGAAGGATTCATGGGCACTCTGGGTGCATTTTGGAGCTATGAAAATATGGGAATTCATGACTTGGCAGCCAATGATTTCATAAAAGAAGTATTGCTATCCGCCCCTTATATGATAGGGAAAGCTCAGGTTTCACCCACAATGAACTTAAACATGGTACGCGGAAATATGATTTTCTTACATATTACCTTATGGGTTTTTTCATCTACTTTTTGAATGATAATTTAACATAAAAATACACACAATTGTTAGGTTTTTAATTAATATAATCAACTGACAACTAATATTAGCTTCATATATTGCTTTTGATCAAACAGTGAAATTAAGGCTTCATTTCAGACTGTTTTCTTATTGCTTCTTAAAGTTGTTTCTTAGTAAAAAATTAAAATTTTACTCTAAAAAATTGCTTTAAGAAGCAGTAAGAAAGTCTTCCCAAACAAACGAGGAATATCATCATGTGAAGACCAATACCGAGCTATACCGAGCAATACTGAGCAATACAAAAAAATACCTAGTTTTTCCTAGAGAAAACTCGGTATGTGCTCGGTATTGCTCGGTATAGCTCGGTATTGGTCTTCACATGATGATATTCCTCGTTATTGTTTGGTATTGCTCGGTATTTGCTTGGCATTTCTCATTTTTAGCGCGATTTTAGCTCTGGGAGGACGCATCTCTGCGTCAGGTGGGAGGACGCAATAATAATTCCTATTACAGCCTCGCCTCCTTAGTGGGGCAAAGCAAGTGTGAGCTCAATAATGGTGGGTGATATCGTTAGGTTCCACTAAAGAATTGATTACGTCGCAAAATGTTCCCTTTGAAGTGCCAGCGGATAGATACCCCCGTTCAAAAAAAAATGTTACGTTAACTTTGAAAGCCACGCTTATTATGTATAATTATAAATCTACTGTGTTAGTTAAAGCATCAGTTAGCAAAAATTATTTATAAATAAAAAAAAAAAAGGGGGAGAACGCTAGAATTGAGTGATAACAAATAAGTATACGTTTGTTTATTCACTTTTATTTTTTTTATTAATCCTTGCATAGTGATATATCCATAAAATTACTATTAATTTTGAAGCCCATTTAGAAAGATTTGGTCATCTTTATTATTTATCATAAATTTAGCTAATAATTAAAATAGCTAGAAGACAATTTTAGTTATTTTTGTATATTATTAATAAATTTAACTTTTTTAAATCTTATTTACCCATTTTTATTTAATTTTACAAAAAATATCTTAAAAAGAAAAAAATGATGAATATTGTGATGCACCGATTATACAGTAATTAAAAAAAATACCCTAAATTTTATTAGGTTGGGTCCCACATGAATCAAAAGTGATTGAAATTAAATTAAATTAATTTTTTTTTAAGCTTAAAATTTTAAACCAATAAATAAGAATTAATAATTTAATATGTTTACATTAATATATTTACAAATTATTTATTATAATATTAAACATTGGAGAAGCTTTGGTGTTGATATGCTCTCATAAATTTAATAGAATGCATTTTATAATTATTAACTTTGTTTTAAATTAGTCCAATACATAGCTATTCAATGAAAATTTATATTATAAGTATTTCAAACAAAATTAATAATCATAAAATGTATTTTGATTAAACTTGAGTCAGCATGCATGTTCTTATCCAAAAAAATATTTTTCTAAGAATTTGTGGTTTATTTTCTGCCCAAACACATTTTAATAAATATTAATCTAAGTCGATCATAACAAATTAAAAAGCCCGTGCCCATAAAAAACATACACGCCAGTTTAAACACTTGTACTTATGTCTATTACACGAAAAATTATTACGTGCCGAGTAAGGATGCATCTGGAAGTCAATTCGGATGCGCTATGTAATCCAATATACAATGCATTAGATGACTTGGTGTGTCCGAATTGACTTCCAGACACATTTGAATACCGCACAGAATAATCTCTCTACATTACCATAATAAAAAGTAAAGAATTGGTTTCAGATTCAAGCGATGAAAGTCTGGTAGAAACTACTAAAAATTAGTTTACAATTTTTTTTCTTACATTATAACAACTAATATTATGTTAACATCCGAGTCCTTAATTAGGGCTGCAAGCGAACCAAGCGCTCAGCGAGCTACTCGATGCTCGGTTTGATTAAAACTTGTTTGTGATCGTTTGATTAACTAAACAAACAAACATGAACAACATTTTAAATGCTTGATCCTTAAATAAATAAGCTTGAACACTAATGTGTTTGATTCATTTATTTTCACGAACAACTTCATTTGAAGTTAGTGAACAAGCTCGACATTAAGCTCAATAAAAAGCTTGAATGGAGAGAAATTCAATCGGTAAGCTTCATTTAAGAATATATTCATATAGATTAATCATATTTTCATTTTAAATAGATAGCTGCTTTTATTATAAATTTAATTTTTTTGAACAAAAGACATTTCACATTTATCCATATTTACTAGACATTTCACAAAAGACATTAATTTTTTTGAACAAAAGACATTTAATCTAAGTCGATCATAACAAATTAAAAAGCCCGTGCCCATAAAAAACATACACACCAGTTTAAACACTTGTACTTATGTCTATTTCACGAAAAATTATTACGTGCCAAGTAAGGATGCATCTGGAGGTCAATCCGGATGCGCTATGTAATCCAATACACAATGCATTAGATGACTTGGTGTGTCCGAATTGACTTCCAGATGGATTCGAATACCGCACAAAATAATCTCTCTACATTACCATAATAACAAGTAAAGAATTGGTTTCAGATTCAAGCGATGAAAGTCTGGTAGAAACTACTAAAAATTAGTTTACAATTTTTTTTTCTTACATTATAACAACTAATATTATGTTAACTTCCGAGTCCTTATTTAGGGCTGCAAGCGAACCAAGCACTCAGCGAGCTACTCGATGCTCGGTTTGATTAAAACTCGTTTGTGATGGTTTGATTAACTAAACAAACAAACATGAACAAACATGAACAGCCCTATCCTTAATCCTCGCTCATTTTGTTATAGTAGTGCTGCAATAAATGTATTATAATCTCAAAGAGCTCATAAATCATAATCGAACAAAAGATTTGGCAATCCCAAAATTACTGAATTAAGGATGGTTTATAATAATAATAACGGGATAATATATTATACTACTAAATTCATTCATAATAATAGAAAATTAATATAATGATGATTTAAAAAAAAACTTACTTTACTGGCCGAATAAACACATTAATTGAGCTAATAAATTAGTTTTAAGAAATCAAACATAAATTATGAAAACAATAATAAAACTCACCAATTACTTCTAACAGTCTCACACAGCTCCATGGATATGTTGTATGTAAGAAGAGTTCAATGAACAAAAAGATCACGAGCTACCATCATATATTTCTTTATAATATCGAGCTACTCGATGCTCGGGTTGATTAAAACTCGTTTGTGATCGTTTAATTAATTAAACAAACAAAGATGAACAACATTTTAAATGCTCGATCCTTAAATAAATAAGCTTGAACACTGATGTGTTTGGTTCATTTATGTTCACGAACAACTTCATTTGAAGTTAGTGAACAAGCTCGGCATTAAGCTCAATAAAAAGCTTGAATGGAGAGAAATTCAATAGGTAAGCTTTATTTAAGAATATATTCATATAGATTAATCATATTTTCATTTTAAATAGACAGCTGCTTTTATTATAAATTAAATTTTTTGAACAAAAGACATTTCACATTTATCCATATTTACTAGATTGTTTGTTTAAGATGTTCATGAATAAATTTAATGTTTGTTTGTTCAATAGTTTGTTTGTTAAATACGTTCATGAACATAGCTCATTAAAGCTTGTTTGTTTAAAGCTCGATAAGCATTAAACGAACCGAACATGAACCGAACATGAACACCCTTGAATTAAACGAATCAAACATGAATACAAACAATAAAGCTCGAATCAAACGCGAAGCGAACTTGAACAAGCTAATGATAAACGAACTCAAACATGAACACTCACATACTCGGATCGATTCGATTCGTTTGCAGCCCTATCCTTAATCCTCGCTCATTTTGTTATAGTAGCGCTGCAATAAATGTATTATAATCTCAAAGAGGTCATAAATCACAATCGAACAAAAGATTTGGCAATCCCAAAATTACTGAATTAAGGATGGTTTATAATAATAATAACGGGATAATATATTATAATACTAAATTCATTCATAATAATAGAAAATTAATATAATGATGATTAAAAAAAAAACTTACTTTACTGGCCGAATAAACACATTAATTGAGCTAATAAATTAGTTTTAAGAAATCAAACATAAATTATGAAAACAATAATAAAACTCACCAATTACTTCTAACACAGTCTCACACAGCTCATGGATATGTTGTATGTAAGAAGAGTTCAATGAACAAAAAGATCATGAGCTACCATCATATATTTCTTTATAATATCACTCATACCAAAGTGCTAAATATATATATATTTACTTAGTAAATGAAAAGAATATTTCTCAAATTTTATAGCTCTACAAGAAATAAACCAACACTTTCGTCCACAGAGGAAAAAATCAATAAAAATGTGGCACTGAAACAAATGCAGAGGTTTTGATGAATGAGAAACAAGCAGAAAGAAGCAGTGGCCAGCAATAGTGTTATTGTCCGGACTTCGAGATGAGAAGAGGTTGCAGAGCCTTCACAACAATAGTCATATTGGGACGAAAATCTGCTTCATATTGTATGCAAAGTGCTGCAACTGCTGCCAACTGAAACGTTCAAAAGATGGCCAAAATGATGTTAGTATTATCAAATATTTTGGTCGATAAATATGTAACTCTATGTGCGGAAAGGTGGGAGTAAAATTGCATACTCGCAATGTACTCCATATAATTGACGTATAAAATTTTGTATTTATAGTGTTGTTCTGTAATCCATTTAATTGGGGTAAACAGCTGTGTATTTGTTAGGCCGGCCCCTCCTGGGCCGGTTGAACCGGTCCCAAGTTGTTGGGCGGAACCAGGGAAGGGAGAGAGAGGGGGTCGGCTGCTACTGTGGGGCCCACATGCTAATTAAATTTATTTTGAAGGCAAAATTTTGAATTAAGGAGTTGTTTAGAGAATTTATAATTTTTCTGTCTTTAATTAGTTTCTTTTGGGATGGTTAGGGTTTCATCTTGAATTTGAATTAGAAATTTGAGATCTCTTGCGTGCTTAGGCTCTAGTCTCTCGGCTAGAGATTTGGAGAGTCGTTTCTTCCTCTCAAATTGAAGAGACGTGCATCTTTTATTATTTTCTACATCCATTAGTGGAATCCTTCATTGTTCTCTCAGACTTTCACAATTTTCTCAAGGTTGTGGCTATCAAGTAACTGTTTTCTTCCGAAAACAGCAATTTTTTCTGCTTTTGGGTACGTGTTTTCTATCATTATTCTAGAGAGATAAAAGTTTGTACTAATTCCTTCCATATGTAGCATTACACATGTAATCTACACCTAATGATTTCTCTTTAGCACAATTGCTTTCTTGATGAAAAGTATATGCAAAATGACCAATTGTCCTAAAAATAAAGCTTTATTTCTAAAAATAGCAAAGCACAAACATAAATAAATATGTACTCATCTACCAATCTTTAAGTTATCGCAGTTGCCCCATATGCCTAAATTTTTTTCATACATCTTTATTTTTAACCATGGCTTACATGACAGAAGGAACAATCTTAGTAATACTAAAGAGCATTGTATAGCTAGCATTGCAGGTACCTTTGCTACTGCCTTAGGTGGGTAGCTTTCTTTCAGTTTTGGATCTACACACTGCTTAACTTTGTCTTCACTTAATCTGGGAGTTGCCTGAATAAAAGTTAAAAAAGAAGTTTAGCCAAGTTTGGCTTTTTAAAAGAGCAGCAAATGCACAATTTGAGTTAGGAAATAAATACCCAAGTGACCAGGCTCTGTTGACCTTTAGGCATTGTATGGTCCACTGGCTTTCTTCCAGTAAGAAGCTCTAAAAGAATGACTCCAAAACTGTAGACATCACTCTTCTGATTAAGTGTACCAGTCATTGCATACCTAAAAAGTTGGAAGAAAAACTTTACAAACCTCAAGATGTCTTGCTTGTAATTTTAGTGATCTATGATAAGCAAAATGAACACAAGTAGCACTTTTTTATCTCAATAAGATGCACTCTGCATGAACACGAACTAAACAAGACTTAAGTTTGAGGGGTACATTTCTATCACATAACAAGCCCGATGCATTCCGCCACTTCAACCATCCAACTTGAATTCTGCTGATAATATCCCCATCTATTTCACCATCACTCTGAACAATAGATCCAAGATACCAAAAGATAGGCTTAAGAATGAAAAAAAAAAATCTTGTAAGAAAATTATTGAAAGAACAATTGCAAAATGCTATTAGCTTGGGGGCATTTGTTGTGATGCATTAAATTGAAATGAAGTAGTTCGTGAAAAGTTAAAGATAACTAAGGCTTCGTTTGGGATGGCTTTCTTATTACTTTGTAAAGCGGCTTTTTAGTACAAAAATTTTATTTTTTGTAAAAAAAGTTGCTTTAAGAAGCGGAAAGAAAGCCGTCCCAAAGGAGGCCTAAGTTTGTGGTTCATGAAAATTTTATCTAAAACCATGTAAAACAGACACCGTTCTGTTAAGACAAGATTCTAATGTAAAATAGAATTGAGAAATCAGATGATGTTAAACAATCCTTCCGAATTGGTTATGATGCTAATTTTAGTCTAAATAGCATTAATGGAGAAAAAAGGTGGTATTTACTCTGGAGCATGGTAGCCAAATGTTCCTAAAACCCGAGTTGAATGTAGACGGGCAGCTGTATCAGGAGACTGATTGGTTAAGTTAAAATCAGCTATCTTGGCCTCATAATCACCAAACAAGAGTACATTGCTTGATCTGACATCCCTATGTACAATTGATGGCTGAACTTTCTCATGAAGATACTCAAGACCTCTAGCTGCACCATAAGCAATTTTCACTCTTTGGCTCCAGCTCAAAACAGGACCAGGTTCTGCACCTTCTACTCCTTTCCTCCCTGGTTCAAAGAATTGGCTCCTCTGGGTTAAATGACTCCATAATGCAGAATAGATAGTAAACAGATGCAACCTAGAAGTGTAATATTTACCATGTAAGATATTATGCAAGGAACCTAAAGTTGCTAATTGGTAAACAAGGATTCTATTTCCATCCTCCAAGCAATATCCCAGCAGCTCCAGAAAATATTCATTTTTGAGTCGGGAAACCAGTGATAACTGCAAGAACAAGAAGGACAAAAATAATAAGATGATGTTCCCTTGTTATATTTTTCATGATTTCTTAATAAGTTCACCTGGGCAGAAAAGTCAGTATCAGTTTCTTGTGAGGCTGCGGGATCCAATTTCTTTATTGCCACAGCTTGCCCTGTGCTCAAAATTGCTTGGTAAACCTTCCCATAAGAGCCCTCCCCAATCAAAGCCTTAGGACCAAAGTTTTTTGTCAGTTTGTTTAGCTCAGCCAAGGGTATGACCGGTATCTCAATAGGTAAGACCTTTTGGGGAGCTCCACTTTTGGCTGCCGTAGGACCTCTTGGTTCTTTGTCATGTGCTGTAACAAATAAAATTATATATATATAAGTTATATGTAATTTTCCCAAAAAAAAAAAAAGAAGTTATATGTAAGGAAGTGTTTATTCAAAGGGGAACTTGAATTGACCTGAAATATCAGTAATCCAATATATTTTAGCCAAAAAAACATAATATTTTCACTACAAAATATTTTTAAATTATTTGATACTTGACTAAACTAATAAACTCAAACATTAAGAATTTCTCACTCAATTGAGAGCTTTACCATCAACTATCACTCCCTCTTGAACAAAAGTTTTTTAAGCTCATCAAGTATCGTGTACCAAAAGCTCACTTAGTGTGTGGAGCTTACATGGGGGTTACCCTGTCCTTGAGGCTTAGGGTCTAATTGGGGTAGCTTTTTTCACTACTTCGCATTTCAAATTGCTGTCACACTTTTCTTTCGTTATTACTTTATTGTTACTTTTCAGAAGTTTCTATGATAAAAAGCTATTTTTCAGAACAATATCTACTAGAGTGATGTAACCGTGAGAAAATTGTTGTTTATTCTTGTCAAAGAAAAAAAACATTTATAATGCCCAATATAGCTTTAATAAAATTATTTTTCTCACAACTATAAATCTACCTTTATAAAAAACTACAAACATTCCAGACAAATCCTTTTTCAACAATTGTGGAAGGTACCAAGATCCATGAGAGCTACAAATCAAATCAAACACTACAACAACAACATCAAGCCTTTATCACACTACATGGGGTCGGCTACATGAATCCTTTTCCTCCATTGTGTCCTATTAAAAGTCAAATTCTCGTTTAAATCTAATAAAGAAAGGTCATTCTTAATATTTTATAACCAAATCTTTTTGGGTCTGCCTCTACCTTTCTTAACATTAGTCAAATCTAATACCTCTACTCTCATAATTAGGTCATCGAAAGTCCACCGTTTTATGTGAAATCAAATCAAATACTGATCTCAACAAAACATTAAGTTTTGATACCACTTTGAATAGAGTGAAATCCAGAAATTTATATATTTGGAAATCCCGCTGCTTATAGCACATTCGGTCCTCCTCCTATAGAAGATTGACATTCCCGTTAATCTTCCAACTAAAATGCAACAGCAATAAAAAGATTCCTAAAATCTACTCTTATATGCAGAAAAGAATGTGATATTCAGATATATATATTTGGAATAATGAGGGAGGTAAAGTTACTCAAGTCTAAAGATACTAACGCTTTTCATTTGTAGATAAATGACAACTTTTTGGTTGGAACAAATCGACTCCTGGTTTTTAATAACCGAACATAATTACTTTGGTAACTAAGCAAGCTTCACAAATCCAACAATAAAACTATGTAAACTCGCACCGGTGATATTACGAGTTGCAGGGGGAACAGAAGGATTAATGGGTTGGCTATAGATATCCTCCTCTCCATCACAACAGCAAATCATCTTCCTGGTCACGAGCGCCCAAATCCTTTGCTCATCAACAACCTCCGCCTCCTGCACCCTAACCAAAACACCACCTTATAGTTTCCCATTTCAAATTGTGAATAGAATATCAAATCCATGGCGAAATTACTAACAACAAGCAAAGAGAAAATATATAATTTACCTCCCTCCTTATTCCTTATCTCCAATTTACGGCTGTTCTTGAGCAATTCAAATAGGCAAAAAGCAACCCTAGAAAACTATAACTTTCAACTTCTCTGTATCGATTAAAAAACACATGAACAAAAGGGTGAAAGATATTCAGAATTTTGATCGGATAATTATTTCGAGATCTAAATGGGCATCTGAATGATTATTTCCAGACCTTTTCTCTTTTCCCACAGCGGCAGGTGTAAAGAGCGATGAACTTTGCCAGTTTGGCGGGAGAGCGAGAAGGATTGGGGAAGAAAGGCAATGGCACAGCTGAGCAGGAACGTTTCGCGGGGAAAACGGTTGTTTTCTTTTGATCTACGCTTCATTGTCGCGGTGGAAGATATGCCCATAAACGATTGACTATTTAAATAAATATATTAGTTTTATATTTACTTTAAAAAGAATTATATAATTAGTTTTTATTTATTGGATACAAAACTAAAAAATTATTTTTTCCCATTGAATATTGATATTAATTATGAATACTAAATGAGCACTTAAAAATAGTAACATTATTATTTTGTATTAGATTTGTGAATATTTGACAGGACTAGAAAATTAGACTTGAAACCAACATGAAGTTTATTACGTCCTCTGACCGGACGTAGCTCTACGTTCGTCAGATGATTGTTACTCGGATTTTGGTCGGTATTGCTAGGTATTGTTTGGTAATAATGAGGAATACCGTTCTGTGAAGATCAATACCGAGTAATCCCAAAAAATACCTAGTTTTTTCAAATCCCAAAAAATACCTAGTTTTTTCTAGAAAAAACTAGGTATTTTTTTGGATTACTCGGTATTGCTCGGTATTACTCGGTATTTTGTCTTCACATAATGGTATTTCTCGTTATTGTTGGTATTGCTCGGTATTTGCTCTGTATTTCTCGTTTTGTGCCTGCGATCTTAGTCCGCGGCCGAACGTAGCTCTACGTACGTTCACCGGACCAAATAAAAGTTCCCTTCAATGGACCCAACCTGACCCCGCCCAAAACCCAAGTTAACCCGACCTTACCCGTGTGACCGCTAGGGCGAGGGGGCAAGGCCACAACTAGCAAGCAAAGGTACGAGTACGGGGTGCGGGTTCGAGCACGAGCGCGCGCGTCAATGCAGGGGTGATCCTGCTCATGCTAGCACGACTCGGGCCAGTTTTGGTTTATTTTCGGATGTTCGGGTTGATCTAAACTTGACCAGAATTTGTAATCAGGTCAAGATTTAAAACCTAAATCCGACCCATTTTCCAAATGGATTGACCCGACTAGAAATTATCAGGTCTGTTCAAATCATATTTTCAAGTCATTCCAAATATTGACACCTTACCTATCAGAAAGAGCCTGCCCCATAAAACAAGTTGTGAGTGCTGTTTGGCCGGTTATTCCCTCGGGTAATCTCAGCATGAAATAATCAGGAATGTAGCTTCCAATGAAGTCTTCTTATCTAACAAAAATATTAGTGGAAATGAAGCAAGACAAATAAAAAATTATTTTTCATTCAACAAAAAAGATAAATTATATAAGAACTTCGAATTAAAACAAACAAAAAATAAAAGAAAATAAATCTCATCACCTGACACAATGTGAATACCTATATAAGAATCTTGATATTTTTAATGACATTGTGTTAAACTTTGCAGATTCGAGCAAGCTGTTCTGCTCCAGAAAGAAGAAATAGAGATCGAATTAGCAGAGCAAGCAGGAACACAGAGAAGAGAAAAAGCTTGGAAAGATGAAGATCTATGTTTTTTATTTGTTTCTCCAACTACAATTTCCTCTGCATAACGTGCCCCCTTAGAAAATGAAGTAACAATCACTCTCTCATCAATAACATTTTTAAGGATGTTGATGGCAGGCGATTGGTGGTAATATTGATTGAGGGTGGATGAGGGCTATATCATCAATGATGGCGACGACCACAAACAACGCTGACCAGTGGTGTAATCAACGATGACGAAAAACAACAATGGTGTGATGCTGTGGGCAATGCTTGATGATAGTAGTGGTGGGTGCAATCCAGTAGCAACGATCGACATGCGGGTGGTTGGCGTCTTTTCAAGCAAGCGTAAAGTTGAAGTTTGCTCAAATTGAGTTAATTTCAAATACATTGAAGTAAAAAAGATAGCTCTAAATACATTAATAGCTTACTTCTCATTCACTTTTCTTTCAATCAAACACTAAATTTTTTAAATGTAATATATTTGATTTACTTCACACTGGTAATATATAGGACCAAACTACCCTTAATATCTTTTTCCTTACACAAGTGATAGCAAGGATAGAATCCTTAGGAATTCCTTTAATTAATTTATATTGGACACTATGGAGCTACATTTTGATTTCTTACATTAAGATTTGAACATTCAAAAGAACAAATAATTATTGATTTTTTTTTTTTTAGGAAATACATTTAAAAATTATTAAATTTATTTTATGATTAATACATATCAAAAGAATTTAAATTGCATATATGAAGAAGAGGTTGAAAGACTAACATTCATTTCATATTATAATTTTTTATAATTTATTAATATATAGTTAAAATATTAGTATGAATATATTAGAAATAATACACTTCTTAAAAATTTATTTATCTAAATTAAAGTTATAAAATTTTGATTAAAATGACTAATAAAAATATTTTCCAAATTAAAATTTATGATTCTTCCTCTGACCGTTATACATTAGGAAGAAAAATTAGGTCAAAATATTTGATAAAAATGAATCTAAAAGTGATTAAATTTATTTTAAAATTAGCTTTATGTAGAATTTAATTAGTTAATGATGTAGTGGAGTCATTTTAAAGTTCAATATGTGTGAGGTCTTATCCTAATTATATTTTTATTAGGATATTATCCATCAGCATTCATTACCAGTGCCGGCTCTCGTCCCCACCTGTCCCCTCTCTTTTTTAAAAAGATTCCGCCTCCGCGCCCAAAAATAAAAAGCCGAAAATATCCCCATGATTCATCAAAAATAAAACAAAGAAAAATAGAAAACCCAAAAATTCATCCCGGCTGGCCGAAGGCCCGAAAGAGGCCAAGACCACCCTGCTCTAAGCCCTAATTCTTGGGCTCTGCTGGCCGGCAGCCATGGATGACTCCGCAACTGCCGAGCTAGTCAGGGAACTTGTTCTCCGACTCCTTTCCTCCGGTGGCCGCTCGACCCCTTTGGCTGGCGACTCATCCACTGTTGCGGCCGTACGCTACGCCCTCCGCCTCCTCTCAAGCCGTATGTCTCCATCCGTTCTACCTGATGAGCTCTCGCTCGTTGAATCCATTAAGCGACGGCTAGCCGTATCCGGACGCTCTTCTGCGGCCCTCGCTTTTGCCGACCTACACTCCAAGCTCTCCGCCCATGCTCCACTTCTCAATCGTTGGGCTCTTCTCTATCTCCTCAACTCCCTTTCCCTTGATCGCCGACGGTCCGCTTCTTCACTCTCCGGTGGTCTTCCCTTCCTCCCTCTTCAGCCCTCTCATACGGCCCGCCCCGCTGCGGCCTCCATCGCAGGTGGGGCCATCAGCGGAGGCGTCCTTCTCGTCGCCAAGGATCCTGAGAACATCCGCGAGATCGCCCTTCGTGAGTACGCGGATCTGGTTATGGAAGACAACGAAGTCACCGAGTCAGCTTTGGTCAGAGACGTTCTTTATGCTTGCCAGGGAATTGATGGTAGGTACGTCCGCTTCGATAGGTCATCGGATGGATATGATCTTCCGGAGTCGCTGAAGATCCCAAGGCCTACTAGATCCATCGTTCGTCGACTCTGTGAACTTGGATGGCTCTTCCGGAAGGTAAGAGGTTACATTTCGGAGAGCATTATGGATCAGCAGTTTGAGGTCGGCACAGTTGGGCAAGCCTTTTGCTCTGCTCTTCAAGACGAACTCTCGGATTACTATAAGCTACTCGCAGTGCTAGAATCGCAGTCTGCTAATCCTATCCCCTCAGCCGGATCTGATTCTGGAGGAAGCCCCGGAAACTACCTCTCTCTGCGGCGGCTTTCTGTTTGGCTTGCGGAGCCAATGGTGAGGATGCGTCTAATGGCCTTACTGGTGGATGGCTGCCAGGAACTAAGGGGCGGAGCCATGGCTGGAGCTATTCACGCTCATGCCCAGCATGGAGACCCTTTGGTTCAGGAATTCATGGGTCGGTTGCTAAGGAGAGTATGTTCTCCTCTTTTTGAAATGGTGAGGACTTGGGTATTGGAGGGAGAGTTAGAGGATGTGTTTGCTGAGTTTTTCATATCGAGTCAACCTGTGAAGGCTGAATCTCTTTGGAGAGAAGGCTATGATATCCAATCATCTATGCTTCCCGATTTCATATCACCACTGCTGGCTCAGAGGATTCTGAGGACGGGGAAGTCAATTAATTTTCTACGTGTTTGCTGTGAAGACAGTGGTTGGGCGGAAGCTGCCGCTGAGGCTGCTGCCCATGTTGGAGCTACAACCAGAAGGGGCGGGCTTGGCTATGGTGAGACTGATGCCCTTGAGGCATTAGCCGTTGAAGCTGCCAAGCGAATTGATCGGCATTTGATGGATGTGATCCATAAAAGGTATAGATTCAAGGATCATTGCCTTGCAATCAAGAGGTATCTTCTTCTAGGGCAGGGAGATTTTGTGCAGTACTTAATGGATATCGTCGGTCCTGAACTGTCAGAGCCAGCAAATACTATCAGTTCCTTCCAGCTAGCAGGATTGTTGGAGACTGCAGTTCGTGCATCCAATGCGCAGTATGATGATCGTGAGATTCTTGACAGGCTCAAAGTTAAGATGATGGATCATGGAGATGGTGACAGAGGATGGGATGTTTTCTCATTGGAATATGACGCTAGGGTGCCATTGGATACTGTATTTACGGCATTGAACATGAAGAGGTATCTTAAGATCTTCAATTTTCTTTGGAAGCTTAGGCGTGTTGAGCATGCATTGACTGGGTTATGGAAAACTATGAAGCCTAATTACATAAATTCGTGCATTTTTACTGATGAAAGTTTTGGGGTCAAGTTGCAGTTTGTTTCAGCTCTAAGAAGATGCCAAGTTCTCTGGAACGAGATGAACCATTTTGTGACAAATTTCCAGTATTATATTATGTTTGAGGTTCTTGAGATCTCCTGGGTTCATTTCTCCGAAGGTATGGATTCTTCAAAAGATCTAGATGATCTTCTGGCCGCTCATGACAAGTACCTCAACTCGATTGTCGAGAAATCTCTTCTTGGAGAGAGATCTCAGGGCATAATAAGAACCCTCTTTGTGCTATTTGATCATATACTGCGCTTTCGTAGTCTTGCTGACAGGTGGTTTGAACGTATATATGAGTTGCAGCTTAGGTAATCTTTTGACTCTTTGAGTAGTCCTTATGGCTTCTTTTATTTTTTATAGTTGCAGGATTATTAAATAAGGTTTCTATTGATTGTTTTATAGGAGGAACAAGTCTAGGTCAAAATCAAAGGGTGAATTAGGCAAGGTGGGCTCATGGATGGATGGAGGCAGAAAAGCCTTAATTCAGCTTGCACGGGATTTTTTTGTCAAGATGAGTGAGGAGTTGGACACTGTTGTGAAAGAGTATTCAGCAGCACTTGATGCTTTTATTTCTGAATTGCCAATGCAGCAACATATTGATTTGAAGTTCCTGTTGTTTCGTTTGGACTTTACTGAGTATTATAGTCGACTTTCCCCTAACAAGTGAACATGAGGGCTGCTGAAGATGGATTGAAGAAGTATTTTTGTATGAGTAGAGGTTGAGTTTGCTGACTTTATTTTGAATTGATCACTGCAGTCATCTTCATGTAACTAGATAGAAAGTAAGTAGCTTTATTATGATTGCATGTTGCTTCTTGTATCACATCGCACAAAGATATTATCTATTGTAATTTGATTGCTTCATCTTTTTCTTTTTAGATGCCTCATTTTCAGTGCTTACATCGAGGTTTTGCTTCATCGAATGCTAATGTAAGTATTGCTGCCCTTATATCCGGATAGTTTTACATTTATGGTCATGATCTTTTTTAAAAAATATATGAAATTCACTTAGATTATTCATACAAGTGCATTGCATCATTTTAAATGGTTCTTCATGTTAATAGTACTCACAAGGTTCAAAACGGCCATGGTACGGATGGAGCAAAGACAAGAAGTAGACTGTTATCAAACAATCCAAACCACAGAAGTGTTAAAATCTGATATGTTGGATACACTTACATCCTTCATATACTTGTATAAATACTGCCCTGTATTCATCTTAAATGTAATGAAAAGACTTACTATTTGTTGTTACTTCTATCTACCTTTCTCTGTTTTACTTATTGTAAAGTAGTTTCTCATGGTATCAGAGCACAATCCTTCCATTGATGTGGGGACTAATATGAGAGGAGGCTTGAACGCCGATACCTGGTTGGAGTCTGGAGAGGGACATGAAGAGAGGTGTTTGTATGGGAAGATTGACTCATTAAAAACATGGCAGGAGGTGTAGACTTGACTGGTTGTAGGATTTAGACAGCGGTAGTCTTTTTGAGAAGAGGCGTAGCCGATGAGATAATCTGGCTTCGTCGTCTTCTCCTAGAGTTCAATTGCTCTCCTACCACCTCTACCATTTCTCTTCTGTGATAACACCTCAACTATAGCCTTGGCCAACAACCTAATATTTCATGCCCGTACAAAACATATAGAAGCTGACTGCCATTTCATCAGGGATTGCATTAAAGATAAGGCCATTCAAGTTCATCACACCTCTACAAAAGACCAACTAGCTGACCTCTTAACTAAACCGCTTTCTATATTTTGGTTTCAAATGTTGACAGACAAACTGGTTACATCTTTCGATGCACCAGTTTGAGGGGGCCTGTTAACACTACTCACATCGTTCAAAACGGCCATGGTACGGCTGGAGCAACGACAAGCAGCAGACTGTTATCAAATAATCCGAACCACACAAGTGTTAAAATCTGATCTTTTGGATACACTTACATCCTTCATATACTTGTATGAATACTGCCCTGTATTCATCTTAAATGAAATGAAAGACTTACTGTTTTCTGCTACTTCTATCTACCTTTATGTGTTTTACTTACTGTAAAGTAGTTTCTCACTTCAAAGGATGTTTACATTTTCTTCATAATAATTGTGTTTGCATTGCAAATTTTCTTCCTTCTTTATATCAAATTCCTTGTAATATTTTTAATTTAATTTATTTATGTTTTTTATGATGGGAGTTTGTGTTGTGATTGCTATAACTAATAACTTGTTATTTTGTGCTTAACAGTTCTGCTTGAGCCAAGATGCAGGAATATTGCAATGAAATATAGACTACAAATTGATGATTGACTCTCCAAAAGCGAATCATATGGCCAAATTAGTAACAAGTTTTGTAATTTTTTTGTTGGCTTTGTATAGGAACTAGAGATTTACTGATTGATTGCCATTAATTTACATCATATGAAGCTTAAATGATTTGTTTTTTCTTGAATCTTTCAACAATTTCCACTTAATATAGCGCGAGTGAACTGTTTCATTCACAACATTTCCTTGAATCAAATGGTGAAAGCATTAGCTTGCTGTTTCATTCCAGATTTCTTATTGTTTTGTAAAATAATTTTTTAGTACAAAAATTTTTAATTCAAAAAATTTTTATACTAAAATATTACTTTATAAAATAGTAAACAAAGTCGTCCCAAATAAAACCATTTCTTCTATTTTTGATCTGATGCAGAAGTTTTTTGTTTTAATGATTATGATGATTTCAAGGGTTTAAGTATTTAATTTTGATTTTGTTACTTTTTACATAGTTAAAATTGAAAAGATTTGTAATGTTATAGTTAAAAAATGAAAATATTGTGTTATATTCGTTTTTTGTTTTTTTTTTAAGTAAAAAATGAAAGCTCATTTTCGAGTAATACACCCATTATTTCTTGTTGGGAATAAGTTTTCTTTGTTATAATTGGTAAATTTGTAGTATTTACTATTAAAATTAGTGACTTTGAATAAGATAGTCTGACATTTCTTAAATGAATAAATAAATAAGCCCTCTAAAGGTTGAATGATACGCAGCTGTTGTGAATGATCGTCTAGTGGGGCAGTTATGCGGATCCAGATCAATTTTTTTAGGATGGATAAGGGCATCTCCAACCGAGAACTCTATTTTTTACGGCAAAATACAGAAAAATTCTAAAATGCCGTGATGTTGTTTCAATCAAACGTCATTTTATGTGCTTATGCGAAGGTAACGTCCTTTTCCCTTTCGCGTTTTTCCGGTTGAGAGAGCAAAATAGCGTAGGTGAACAGTGCGATGCCAATATTGGTGTCGCATTGTTCACCCGCAAGTAAATGGCGGAAGATTTGGCGTTCGGCTAGAGCGATCAAACGTCGTTTGGTATTCGGTTGGAGATGCTCTAAATTTTTATGGTTTGAGAAGGTGAAGGCCGGCGATCTCTCGCGATTGTAAATGTGACCCGATCTTGATGGAAAGATTGGCTTCAAGCCATCCATTGTGATTCTGTGAACGAAAGGAGGCGGGATGGCAAAATTGGCGCCTAATTAATAAATTTAGGCAAAAAAGTCCTTTTAGAAAGAAAAATTTTTGAAAAAACCCTCTCTAATGAATAATTTGTTTTTTCAATGGATTCGCCTATGGTAGCGGGTCATGTTATCAGCGGTCTCCCTCTCTTGATATTTTCAGCTTCGCCATTGCCAATGGAGTAGTTTGCTAATGTTATCATTTACGACTTAAATGAAGATAAGCATAAAATCTTTTTAATTCTTTTTTTTCGATTACAGATTATAAATATAGTTTTAAAAATGGATTCATATATATTATGTTAAATTTTAATTACACATAATTGAGTATAAAAATTATCAAATTGTTTTTTAAAGATATGTTTTTTGTTTGTTTACAAACAATTAAATTGATACTAAATAACAATTACTTTATTTTTAAAGAGGGATCATTCGTATATTAATTTATATTTTATATTTTTATATAAAATAGAATATATTTGATATCTTAAAAATAAAATTTTTATTTATTTATGAAGTGATGATGGTGGTGACAACTGTTGATAATGATAATTAATTATTTTTTTATATAATCAAAATATTTAAAAGTTATTTAAAATATTAAAAAAATAATATAATTATTTTAAAAATTAAAATACCGTGAATAAATATATAATTCTAAAAGCCAAACGGAAAAATTAAAATGTTCCCAGGCATTCCACGGTTGATTCAATTGGCAAACAATCAGGAAGTAAATCCATGGAAATCTCTGTTAAATATTGGGCCAAATTTTATACGCAAGCCCCGTCCATTGCAGATCAGCTAGTGTTACCAACAAAATGGTACAAAACCACGGAGTGGACACATTCTCAATCAGATCCATCCATAAAACATTAAGATGCGTGCCAAACCATTAAATGTTTTGCCTCCGTTTTCGGCGGAATGTCGCTTCGATGACTTCTGCTCCGAAGTCTTCTACTCATTCCAGGAGAACGGTACGGAGGATTAAGAAGGGGCAAGCCGCTCTTCCGGTGGCTTCCGACGGCAATGGCGACGGGCGTTCCCCTGCCTCCGGTCTGCTTGTTCACTCCAATACTTCCCTGGACTTATTAGGGGCGGCTGCATTACTGCCGTGGGGTTTCTATCAAATCGATGCCTTAGACCTTGCGCCTCGTCTTCTTGGTAAGCTCCTACGGAGGGACGAAGTCGTGCTTCAGATTACTGAGGTATCTTCTCTCGTTCTCTTGTTTTGAAACTGAATTATTTTTCTTCCAGAATATCTTCCTTTTTTTTTCTCGGGTTAGGTCTTGCTTGTTTTTGTTTTTTCGGTGTTCCATATTTGGGTTTAAGTGTGGAATTATTGATGCAGGTGGAGGCTTATCGACCTAATGATTCCGCATGTCATGGTAGATTTGGGATTACTGTACGGACGGCTCCAGTGGTAAGTGCTGCCTGGCTTCATTCTATTCCTTGTTTCTAGCTTTTTATTGACATGAGGTGACTTTTAGGCAATGTTCAAATGGAACGGTGAAAGTGGATGGGGAAAACGAAAGCCAAGTAGTTATGAATTTATGATCATTTGAGTTTTTTAGCACCTATTTTACTTGTTTTAACTTAAAACTTCTTACAGTCAAAGACAATATTTGTAGTTTTTTTTTCTCTTAAAATTCAGGTTGTCCGCTCTTTGACTTTTGAGTTTCATTACTAGTAGGCTATTGAACCTACCGTTCAAAACTTTCTTCAACTTGAATAAATGATTAGGAATGTATAGAAGGAAACAACAATTGCATAGCGTTACATACTATTCCCTTGATTCCCTGTTTTATCTTTTTTCTGTTTCTGTGTTATTACATCATGGAGTCTTAAACATGCATTGTTTGGCTGATTATTTTGCACTTAACTTCTATACAAAGATAATATTTTCCATGTTTTGATTCTATGCACCAACTTAGGCGTCATTTGTTGATAATGGAATAAAGTTAATGCTTATAATGGAATAAAGTTAATGCTAAAATTTGTGATGGAAATTGTTTTACTATTTTTATACCTTTTCATGATCATGAAGCCATGAAGGAGTTGCACGTACTACAAATCTTCATCACAATTTTGATTTTTGTCAAAAAAATTGTGATAAATTAAATTTTGAAAAGCTAAACGGTTGGAAAGCAATTTCGGTCAGGCCTTAGGGTTACTAGCAGGCAATCGGTCACCAAGAAGAGCCAAAAACTTTCTTTTTAAGAAAGTATAATCAAGAAAATCTATTATTTATTAATGATTTTATATTTCTAAAATATAATTGGACATGCATATTTTGTTTAATGAAGCTTTATGAATGTTACTAACACCTAAGTAGTTTAATTTTTCTTAATATAATTTCACCTTTGGTGAGATTTCAAAATATTGCCTAATTTTTCTAGATCTTGTACCCTTTTTGGGTATAATATGACCTTGATATTGATCTTTATTAATTGATGGGTGTTATGGTGGCAGTTTGGCCCAGGAGGACATGCCTATGTTTATCTTTGCTATGGTATTCACATGATGCTAAACATTGTGGCTGACAAGGAAGGAGTGGGTGCTGCAGTATTGATACGCTCTTGTGCTCCTGTTAGTGGTATTGCTCTTATTTGTACATGAAAATATTCTCTATTCTCTTAAGATTAGGAAGATTTGATGGCCTTGCTATTTGATTGTCGACAGTGTGCTTATGCAAATGAGCATATTATTGTGATAGCATCTTCCTTTTAAAATTTTAAGGCATATGTTTGTGCCTTTGCCTCCGGTTGCATATAATGGTTCTAAATAAAAAATTTTAATCTCCTTACGACTTGCCACTTTCTTTCTTAGATTACCTAAACTCACTTTCCACTCCTACTTTCCTCTCTCGCTATCAAAATTGCATTGCAAAAGGTGGAGTAAAAATGCATTTCATTTTATTAAGAAAAAAATGTAGAAAAAGAATTTCTCATAGCATAAGATAGCCAATTTAATGTAGGATTATTTAGGATCTATGGTTCTTAATGCAATTAGATGGCATGATGCATGTAAATTAGCAGTTGAGCTTAGGATTCACTGATTACATACCACTAAATGCATAAAAAGCTTGCTTTCTTTAAATGCAAAATTGTAGTTACTGTAGTTATAGCCCAAATGATAATGCAATTATGAATAAATACGAAGAAATCAACAAAAAAATTGAACTACGCAAAATCAATGAACAATTATAATTAAAAAAATCATAATTAGATTCTTGTTGTGTCAAATTTGAGTTTAATTAGGAATTCTAGTAAGCCAATAATAAAATATATAGAAGAAATTATATTAAGATTGTTATTGATCACAATAAAAAATTTAGACCTCACACTAGCACAAGGAGATGTTTTTTCTCACAATTTGGTAGTCTCATTTGTATCACAGTCGAAATTTTACCTATTCAATTTGCACACACATAATTGAAAATTGGAAGAAGAAATTTTATTCAATAAAAGATATCAAATTGCATGCCTCTTATTATTTTTTTATATATTTATCATCCCTAGGTTAATATTTATGATAAGTACAGTTGAATCCCATGGAGTGGCTGTTGTTGAGATGAAATTCGTTAATGATCAAGTACCAAAGGGACAGAAGAGCTTGGGAGCTTCCTTCTTTCCCATGGACATGCTTTAGTTTGCATCCTCATGTCATCCGTAACTTGTGTTCTTTTTTTTTTAATGCTCTTGAACGATTTAAATGTCTTGTTGCTATTTTACAAACTATTTTCTTGACTGGACAATTTATGATACTATTTGTCGTGGTTTGGACAATATTGATTTATCATTTGAGTGATTTGTGAAAATAAGCAAAATCAAAGTCGTTTTGGAAAATGACTTTTTGCACATAGATGGACTGTAGCGTGTACATGTCTTCGTTTTATAATTACATATAAACAGCCTGTGGAACGCCATTTTTGAAGATTAACTGAGCATGTCATTTATGTAAATACATCCAGTAACCTAGGCGTGCTATGTTTCGAAGATTTTTTCATGCCACATTGGTTGTGTAGTGCCATGCCCATAGGGCTATATTTTTCTTCGTTTGTCGTAGAAACCTTTATTTGAAGTGCTTAGTGGAAAACTTCTTAGGTTTTTGTTGCAATATCTGATGAGGTACTGTTGAATCCATTGATTTTGGGCTATAGTTCTGCTACAATTTAGTTACTATTTTTTTTTAAACACTTATAGTTACTGATTTGAATGTGCTACTCTTGTTTCATTTAGGAGTAAAAGTAGTAATCCTAGATTATTCACCTATGAGTTCACCTAACGAAAAATTCTCTGATATTTGATGCAAAAGAACTTAGCTGATCAACCATGATTATCGTTTAGGTTATATCATGATGTATTTTATAGTGGTTGTGGCTTGTGATTCAATAGTCAAACATGCTTATCTTATTTATTAACAAGTTACTATGCCCGCTGAAATTCATGTTGATACCTAAATGTCCTCTCATCGATATCTTGACACTTCTTATGATTGTATTTGGTTAGGGTTGGTCAATGTTATATTATTTATGCATAATTTGTAAGTACCACCACTCTGACAGGCCTGGAGACCATTCAGCAGCGCAGAGGTCAGAAAACTGATAAGCCTGCCTTATTGACCGGGCCAGGAAAGGCTAGTTTTCTCCATCACTCATTTTTTTTAAATACTTAATGCTTTTAGGGCGAGTGGTTTCTTCTTTGAGTGTTTGTTGGGCCAAATCTATGTATATTTGCGATGTTGCATCTTCTGTAAGAGCATCCAATCTCTCTCTCTCTCTCTCTCTCTCTGTGGTAGAAAATATTTGATGGTTATAATGAGACTCTACATACTCTTTAATTGAGTTCAAAATCACCACGCTGATGGTTTTCTTTTGGAATAACTCTTATTAGGTTGGGCAGGCACTGGGACTCTCCACTTCCTGGTCTAATCACCCTCTCTATATCCCAGGTGCAATCTCAATTTCATATTTTATTGGTGTAATGCTTCAATGCAAATTTTCACAAAACCTTTACTTCTATTTAGGCTTCGTTTGGGACTGCCTTCTTTCTGCTTCTTAAAGCAGCTTCCTAGTACAAAAATTTTAAAATTTGTGAAAATTTAATTTTTTTACTAGAAGCTGCTTTAAGAAGCAGAAAGAAAGCCGTTCCAAACGAAGCCTTAATTCCTTTTTTTTTATTTTAGGTGGTTTGGAACTGCTGGATGGACCTGAACAGGAGAATATTTTGGTTGGTCCCAGAGTTGGTATCGATTATGCATTGCCTGAGCATGTTAATGCACCGTGGAGGTTTGCTGTTGCTGGGAGCCGTTGGATCAGTGCCCCTAAGAGCACCCTCAAGCCTTCCTAATGAATGGTTAGTTTTCTTTCATTTTGTTCTTATTTCCACGTGCCATCGTTATAATTTTCTTGTTTACATGCTTGCTTAACGCATTGTTGTAATGTAATTATGATATCGATGGCATATTTATGAGACACCTTTGATGGTAATTTGATGAAAACGATGTTGTACACCCTTTTCCTGGATATTTCTTGAATTATAATACAAATTTTGTTATTTTGTAAGATCATTTTTTTGGTAAGTTTGCCTTGATTTTTACCTCATCAAATGTTAAAGAAAATGTAAAACTTTATGAATTATCTTATTATTGACCCTCAACTGCATGATCCATTATTCGTCTTGAGATTGTCATGACAACAGTAGATAACGGATCGATGCAATATCACGGAAGACTTTTTTAAGATGACTCGCTTAAAGACATTGAACTAGTTAGAATAAGACTTATTAACTGATGGTTCATGAAAAAAAAAAAAAAATCTTGCGTTGAAGGAATAGGTTTTCTTGCACACCCTTGGTTGAATAACTTATTTTCATTTGCTACGAAAGCTACCCGCATGCTAATAAAAAATTCTAACATGGACTTTTTTTATCTTGAAACATGGAATCAAGATAGCCCTACCTAACAAGCTTATATATTTTTTCCTTGAGTTGATAGCAAGTCTTAGGCTTCATTTGAGATAGCTTTTTTGTTTCTTTCTAAAGTGACATTTTAGTACAAAAATTTCTTGAACAATAAATTTTTGTACTCGAATGCTGTTCTAAAAAATTGTAAGAAAGTAGTCCCAAACGAAATCTTAGTAGTGTGCCTAAGATTATCCGTTATTCACCATTACATTCACACCTTTAAAAGGAAAGTAAGAATGTTTGAACGCATGTTTGCTTATAGACATTTGAAAGAATGTCGGATATAGCTCAAACCACAAAAAAAAGATATTGCATAAAAAATGTAATATGGGTAAATAAAGATGATAATAATTATATGACTTAAATTTTTGTGGCAATGAAGAGGATTATGAATTAGGAGATGATAATGAAGGAAATTATATATTTTTTTACATTTGATGATGATGGTGATGACTATTAGGAATATTAGTTTAATTTTTAATAAAAGAAATAAACTAAAAAAATGATTATAATGTTTTGAATCTTGAGTAATTGAGATGTTGATTACTTGAACTTAAACATCACTTTGGAGGATTTGATTATTATGATGATTTGTCTTTCTATTTAATAATATTTTATATTAATATACAGTTTTATTTACAATTATTTAATATTATGCACTATATTTCGAATGGTGCATGCCGTGTCATACACTATGCATTAGGGCTCAGCGGAAAATTTTGTGCTCTGGAGCGCCATTTACAATTGAAAAGCGTGGACTAATTTTTCTTAAATGATGAAGTTCTACCCTACAAATACTTTTAATATTTTAGAATTGTGATACTGCTATTCTTCAGGTGCACTTATCAACCTATCAAATTTATTTGAATTTTCATTTGACACTTGATTAATTAAACTCAAAATATTTGCAATAATAAAAATTTAGGCTACATTCATCTTTATTGCAAAATTAGGAATAACATTTATAATGTTCAGGGCAACATAGTTACAATATGATGCTTTGAACTTCTTATCACTTATTTTATCATTTGATTCCTACTCCACAGACCACTCTCATTAGATTTTAAATGAGGCACATCAAATGTTTCTCCATGATGATATCATATAGTATAATTTTCTCAAGCTTTTATTTATTAATAGATGCCACACACTCACATTGATTAATAAATAATAGCAACCGCCAACTTCGCAGCAACCTTCCTATTTCCTTTGCTCACATAAGCCCTTCCTAAAACCCTCATCATGTTGTTGGAGCTTCTTGCCCCTAATCATTGAGGCAATGCCAAGGATGTGAAGGAGAAAGTATTTCATCATTGCTGGTGACTTGGAACTTTCGTCATCTCTACTTGGGAGATACAACTCTTGTGTTGGCCCTAGTAGCACCCTTGTCATTGGCGGTCTTCTAACCTTCAGTGTTTTCTGTCCAGAGAGTCTTTGGGCACCAACAACTCTTGCACCATCATTCATCATTTTAAAAATTAACATCCAACCTATATTCTCTTTGGGGTGCCCTTTAGGGTTCTCTACTCTTGTTCTCATCATAATTGGCCACTTGATGGCTTTGTTGATTTTATAATGCCAGTTACTGTTGGCTTCTTTGTTGATGTTGTTCGCAACCAATCTCAACATCTTGTTGGTTTGGTCATGTGGATTGTTCCATCCTTTTCCACTAGTCATCAACTACTCTCATCATCCTCATACGAAGGTAAAACCCACATATTGATCCTTGATTTAATGAAATTTGTTAGATTCTTTAAAATTGACTTTGGCGGGAACATTGCTACAATACATAGTTTATTTGTAATGACCTAAAGTAAACTTGGTAATAATTATTAGTTTATTTAAATATTTATGAATTTCTGTGAATTTGTTTGAAGTAAAAAATTATAATTGAAAAATTTTCCTTGGAGGGCTATGGTGCTGGGATGGGAGCCTCGCATTGTTAAGCTCTCTGTTTGGATGAATAAAATTTAAGTTCTTGGGAGCGTTGTGGCGCTGGCTCTTGTAGTGCAACGTCGCTGTCTTCTCTATTTATTGGAAAGCACTAAGCGTTGCGGTTTGTGGGAAATTTCTAGAAACAAAATTTTCTTAGGAGCATAGAGGCAGTTGGAAAGTCAGCACTACGACACTAGGTCAATTTTGATATTTTTTATATAAATATTTAAAGCATTAACACAACAGCCTTTTTCACCATTTCGTTAGCTAGAAATGTCGAGAGAGGAGCCAAAGAGGACAAAGAGGAAGAGAAACAAAAAAAGCTAGGATTTGAAGGCTGCAGGGCCAAATTCATCCATTGGGTTTATTGAAGATATTGTTTGTCTCAAGATAAGCTTTCATTACCCTACTTCAGTTTTCAACTTGGGTAATTTGGGTAAAATTTACCAGGATTTATTTGATTTAAATAAGTTTGGAAAAAATATTCAATATATAACTTTTGGTATATCGTAGAATAGTTGGTTATGTGCATTTTCAGTTGAAAAACTCAAAGTTTCACCTAATGGTTCTGCATATGTAGTTTTTCATGTGCTTTAATAATTATATTGATTTTAATAGAAAGTACTATGGAATGATAAAAGCCCCAAAACGATGTTATAAATATTCCCCATGAATGATTTTCCGAAATGCTATTGTTGAGTGTGTGTATACATTTTATCTCTTGCTTATTACTAAAATTGTTTTACATGCTCTACTTGCATGTATTTGTACATTATGTTAAATGTTTATACGTGTTAAATATGTCAATATTTTTAAGTCCATATGATGAAATGTACTTGCCATGTTCATGTGTTGGAGGATGTGTGGGGGAGAAATGAGGTAATACAAGTGGTGGTTGTTTTATATTATGTGCAATACAAGTAAAGTTATAATGACATATTCACATATGTGCTTCCACTATCTGTCTTAAATAGATGTGAGATGAACTAGTAGAAGTATAAGTGGAAATTGAGTTATAAGGAGACCAAGCTATATGTAATCCCTTCATTTGTCCTAAATAGATGTGAGATGATTAAGTAGAATTATAATGGAAGTAGAGATATAAGAATGTTTCTAGACATATGCATGTGAATGATATTTTGCATAAACTGTATACATATGATGCATTTCATTCTGACATTTCGTTTAAATTTAAATGAAGTTCATGTTGTTGCCACTTATAAGTTCAAAAATTGATTATGTTATTGCTTTTGATAAATTCATACTATTATCACATAATCACTATTAATAATTAAGTGTAATGTTTAATCATGTTTAAGATAGAACATTGTATAATTACCACATCATTTTAATTAAACTGTAAACTTTCTTTTCTAATTCTTATGTAATTTATTTTAATTATGAATGTTGAGTTCTTTAGTAGGTCTCGTGCAGCCTACTGAGCAAACGGTTTGCTCAACGTATATATTTATATGTCATTTAAGGGTAAAGCTCTAGCTAAGTAGAAAAATATTGGTAAGGTTAAAAGTTATGGTGATATGTATGTTTCTATTTGAGAACTATTCTTTTGTAATTCAGTCATTCATGTATATGAGTTGATATGAGGAGAAAATTATACTAAATTATTGTAATGAATCTTTGATTAAATATAAATTGTTTATATTTTCTTAATAGGATGTTTAATTTGTTTTGGTTTACTTAGTAATGATGAATCTAAATAGCAATAAGAACAATTGTTCAATTAGATTTTAGGATGTGACAAAGTTCATATTTGGTTGATCATCACAGTCACAACAATCTATTGGGATTTCTTTGTAAGCCATGCAATTTATTGGTAGTTGTACTGTATCATTGCTCAACTCTAAGCCTTTACTACAAATATTCTCATAAATTAAGGGCCACAAATTTTTTTTGTCAAGATATCAATGGTGATTAAAAGAGTGTTAATGAGATTATCAAAAAGGACACCAGATTTTAAGTTCTTTAATGGATCACCTAGATGCCCTTGTGGATTATTTTCCCCTATTTATGAAATTGAGCTATTTGACAAAATCATTCTTAACTCATCAGGATCTATATGTAGCAAAACTTTGTAATATGATGATGTAGAACTAAATGCGTATGTTGATGTTTTACATTTGAAATTATATGTTGTTGAAAGAGCAAGAGCAATTAGTTAATCTTCCTTGATTTAAATGGTGATTGAAAACAATAAGTAATGATTCAGATCAAGTAATAGATTACACAACAAAGATTTATAAAAAAAAATGCCAATCAAGTCAGATTTTGCATAATGTGGGGCTTTCGATAGAAATCCCTAAATTAATATTTAGAATAGTCTCTATGAAAAGAAATTCCTTGCAACTAATTTAATGATTGGTGAAAATGGAGAAAGTTTACATAACCTTTATGACGCCACAATTAAAGAAAAACTTAGAAGAGATAAGAATTGGAGGAGAGTTCACCTTTGTCAGTATTTTGAAGCAAGTTGCCATTGAACAGGAGGGTATTGTTGGTCGATAGTGGTGACGAGGGAGAAGAGGATTCTCTTTATGTAGTCTCGAATGGATTGGTCATTCTCAAAGTCAATGTCGAAGAACGGAGACTAGAGGATGTCAATCAGCCCTTGATCGTCGAAAACAAAGTTTTGGTCGTGTTCTGGATCAACCATACATGAATGGACAGCAAATTATGGGTTGGGAAACTTCCGGACAGCAAACAGAGACTTTCCATACAACACAAATGAGCTGGCTGAAATTTCTGGACAACCAGCAGAGATGTCCAAGAAATCGGGACAACAAGCAGGGAATGTGCTAGACAGTAGCTAGAGAAGTCGGGGCAGCAAGGCAGCAGGTTTTCCCTTGCTGGAATCTCTGGACAGCAATGAGAAACTTCGGAGGAAAGGTAATTTAGGGAGAGGGAGAGGATTGGCTTGGAGAGGGAGAGGATTGGCGGGTTAGGAGGGTAAGGAGGAGGCCGACAATTTAGGGAAAGGAGAGTTGAATTTTGGGGTTTCTGCTGAGGCCAAGTGTTTTTCCACTCATTCTCTCTCCTATTTTTCCGTTCTGCTCTGGCGATTTTTTTTCTCCTCCTTTTCTCTGCTTCCTTCGTGAGAGTTTTAGGGTTTCTGCTAGCCGCCGCGGTTTTGGGTGGTGCTTGGAGGTTTGGTGTCTAAGGCCTTGTGGCCTTAGGCTCTTTTCCTGCGATGGCGTCTTCGTCGAACCCGTGGGGATGTATTTTCAGAACTATTCTTTTGTAATCCAGTCATTCATGCATATGAGTTGATATGAGGAGAAAATTATGCTGAATTATTGTAATGACTCGTTTGATGAAATATAAATTGTGTATATGTATTTTTAATAGGATGTTTAATTTGTTCTTGTTTACTTAATAATGACGAATCTAAATAGCAATAAGAACAATTGTTCTAATTAGTTTTTGGGATGTGACAAAGTTCATATTTGATTGACCATCAGTCACAACAATCTATTGGAATTGCTTTGTAAGCCATGCAATTTATTGGTAGTTATACTATATCATTGCTCAACTCTAAGCATTTACAACTAATATTCTCATAAATTGAGGGCTACAAAATTTTTTTTTGGGGGTCAAGATATCAATGGTGATTATCAAAATGGACACCTGATTTATTAGTTCTCTAATGAATCACCTAGAAGCCCTTGTGGATTGTTTTCCCCTATTTATGAGATTAGCTTTTTGACAAAATCATTCTCTTAACTCATCAGGATCTATATGTAACATAACTTTGTAACATGGACTTACCTATTACTTCAGTATCAAGGCCATCAATCACCGGAGTTCTTATGAAAATTAATGTCTGAGTTTTTTTCAGAATTCATTTGGATAGGCTCATGGGAGAAACAAATTGGTGAAATGTGCTTGGACATGATATTCAAGTATGCATAAACTTTTTCAAATGGAGTTTCCATCATCAACAATCAAATGATAGCATCCCATCCTCCAAGTTCATTTTGACATTGAGGCTCCTTTGCTTTCATCTTCTTTGATTGATTATTCTTCATCAAGTTTCAGAAATGAAAAGCTCAATTGCCAAGTTGATCCAATTCTCCTCTACCAAATTCTCTTACAAGATTGTCAACATCATAATGCAAATATAATGATTGGCTGTTGTTTCTTTTGTACTAGATAATTGTTCTTGTGTTGATATTAACAAAAATTTACGAATGCGAAATAATATGAGAAAATTTTAAAACTAAGCATGATTATAAATTGTATTAGAAGTTTAAGCATGTTTTAAAAAAAAATTAAAAATAGGCAAACTCGCCCGTTAAACGGGCGACTTACTAGTCTAGTCAGCATCCGCTTAGCATTAAAAAAATTTAAAAAAAGAAAAAAGAAAATTATTGTAGCAGGTCGCCCGTTAAGCGACTTGCTACAGTACAATATTATTTTTATATTAAATTATTTAAAAAATTCTTAATTTTTAATTTGTTATATTAACATAAATTTACTCATTTTATCCGCCGTGCATTTAATTAACATCTCTAAATAAGATTTTAATATTTGACCATTAATGTTCGTCGAATATAACTAATTGGATTTGTTGGGAATTTAAATGTCTACATCAATAAACATATAAAGTTTTGTCGATGAAGATATTCTTTTGACTGTTCTTTTTTTTATTATTATTATTATTATCACAGTAGTAATTGTGCTTGTGTTATAGAGAACGGCTAAAAGATTTTTTAAATTTAAACATGATTGATATATTTTAATGTATATCTATATCTCCAAATATATTACATACTAATTAATCCTGTAGGATTATAGATAATATTTTCCACCGGATTCACACATTCCCAAATCCCTTCAGTAAAATTAGAAAGAAAATCCTACAATCAATCATAAAAAAGGAAACCGATCAACCCATATCTACATCTATAAATACCCATCTTGCTCTCCTATACTCATAAGGGAAAATTTTAAAACTAAGTTGTTTGTAGGTCAAACTTATGTTAATATAATATATTTTTATTTGTTCGTATTAGTGAGTAATAAAAAATTAAAAAATTTCAGAAATAATTTATTATAAAAATATTACTTTACTGTAGCAAGTTGCCCATTATATGCTTAAGCTCTTAATATAATTTATAATCATGCTTAGTCTTAAAATACAGTCCCAAAATCTAAGTAAAAATTTTCATAATCTTATATCCAGTCTCAAAAAAATTCCATCAAATTAATTACTCCTATAAACACGTTATAATATCTTTTAGTTCTGCCGTTTGTGGGAGCCGTTTTCATGAGGGAGATGGTGGGTAGTGGGCTTGGCGTTGGTTGAGGCCGTTAGTTGAGGCGTGGGATCATGGGGTGGTTAAGTCCGGTGGGGTAGTTACAGTCAACAATTTAAAGAGTGTTAATGAGATTATTTATACATCCCGGTTGTGCATGCAAATTAAAACATAATTCAAAAGTGAAATATAAATTCCATATTAACAAACAAATAAGTCAAAATTTTCATAATCTTATATAACCAGTCTCAAAAAAAAAAAAAAAAAAAAAAACCATCAAATTAATTACTCCTATAAAAATATTCTAATATCTGTAATAGTAGCTAGACTACACTCAGGCTTTGTTTGTTTTTTTGGTGCTTTTGTAAAAAACAGTTTTAAAAAATATTAGTTCAGAAAATGAAGTTTTCTAACGGAGAAGCATATATAAAAAGCTTTCTCAAAACTGCAGAAATATGAAAAAAAGGAGTTATTGGAAACGTGAATTGACGAACCAAACAACACAAAAAAATAAAATTTCTCCGTTTCCAAAAACGGAAAAGGCAAAAAAAAAACGCTCAAACAAGCAAAGCCTCAATAGAAAATTGAAAGGAATTTATATATTAACAGAGTTTCTTTTAACATCTGTTTTTTAATATCCTACTACTGAATAGTCTAAATAACATAAAGAAAAACTCAAAATAAAGATAACAAAAGTAATCCTCTATTAATTAAGAGAGCAGTCAAATCTTGTACCGACATAATGGGCATAAGCCAGATTTTTCGAACCACCTACTAATGCAAGCATGATGAAACCGGTGAACACAAGGCGTGCAAGCAATCTCTTCCTCCACCTCCATCTCATGCAAACAAATAGAACAAATGTCATTCTTCTTCTCTGCCATTGTCACGTTCCTATAAACATTCTTTTGCAATGAATTCATCCTTCTCTCGTGAAGGAACTCCACATCATCTTCTTCCTCTAGATTGATCTCAACAAAGACAACCACCTGCAACATCTTTAGCCCTTGGGTTCCAGCACAATCATATACCAAACTAGTGATGACATTTGAGATTCTCTCTCTGAAAATCTCAGCATCTTGCGGATCAACCATTATGTCCAATGGAATAGGCTCCTTCTCCTCGATCAAGGCTTTAAGAGATGGCGGATTGCATTCAGAGAATTTATGCCTTGATCCTGTAGCAATATCATCTCCGCCTCTCTCGCCGTCGATGTTGTAGATGATGTCGAGGATGAGATATGGTTCTCCACCATTATCGTCGGTGTCAGATATGTTAAAAATCTTATTGGAGAAGATGCGGATGTAGTCGGTGATGTGGATTGTTGAAGCCATTACTTTGAATTTTCTATATGTTGAAGAAGTCCTCGCTCTGGTTTGATTGTATCAAGAATAACTAAATAGCTGCAACTCCATTGTTTAGACGAATATATAACGCAAACCAAATGTTCCTCGATAGGGCAATTCCCGGGCAAACGTACGGATTCGGATTTCCTTCTCTCCTCTCCACCGATTATTACAGCTGTATATATATATGGAAACAACTAATTTTGATTTTTAGCTTATTTATATGTAAGATATTAATCTGTATATTCGATGTAATTATATTAATTCCTTGCCTTTTGAAAAAAGAAAGATAAAATGAGAAAAATATACTTATTTGATATTCAATTAAAATTTTAAATAATATTTCATTATGCTAACCAACATTTTGATAATTTATTTAGATGTTTAGTAGATAAAAACGTGGAAACTTGGGGTATTCATTTATCAATGTCTGAATTTATTTATAATGGTATTATTTTAAAAATAGTAAGTTAAACACCTTTTGAATTTACTAATTATACACATTCTTTTTTATATTTATTAATTTATTTTTTATATTGTTTTTTTTTTGTTTTTACTAATTATACACATATTTATTAATGGTATTGATTATAGTTTTAAGATTCATGAAATAATTTATGGTTTTCCAATTATGTGGTTAATTTGGGTTACTTTTGTCTAGACCTGTCAATATTGGACTCGACCCGAAAATTTCGAGTTCGGGTTGATCCGAACTCGAAGCGGGTCGGGTTCGGGTCCGGAAAATCAATCGGTTTGAAAAACCGGGTTGGGTTTGGGTTGACCCGGAAACCTGGGAATGACCCGGAATAACACATAAACCTGTCACCCGCGTCATCGCGTAAACCCACGTCATCGCGTCAACCATGCATCGTGCAGTCGAGCGAGCCACAC